ATTTGGACGGACACATAAAGTAGTCATTAATGGTTAAGTAATGTGAGATAAGGAGTAATTAATTCATGGTGAAAATGTAAAGACAACTCTGAGCAGACTGAGGCAGCTGAATGTGTGGAGGTGAAGAAAAGTGTCCAGTAAAGCCCAAGGACTGTGTTCCACACAACACTGCACAGTAAAGGAAAATGTAACCATGAATCAGTAGATTCATTAACAGATAATTGACAGCGCTAACACAAAAGTACTTGTGAGCTCTCATGTCATTTCTTTATATGAGTAAACACACTTATTAGTTCATTAGCAACATAAAAAGCAGCACTTAGTACAGTTTACAGTGTACTAAATTATTAATTACTTAAACAGTAACTAAAAATAACTAATGTTTAATAAATATGTAATTCATATATAACTAATGAGTAGTTAATGACTTAATAACAACATAATTAACCTTCATTTTGTGGACCTTTTTGTAAAGTGTTAACACCACTTTTTTAAGCTATACATTAAATTCATTGACACTGTGAAGTTTGTATGAAATTTGTCTGAACATGAGCCCCAAAAACTAAGCAGTAGCTTTTTTGTGGGGCTTTACTTGAGGTGTTCTTACAAATTTGACATTTATACAAGGATTTCATAAGGCAGCTATGTCAGTCCTCGGGAATATTCTGTGATATTCCACAACACTGGTTCTTTCTGGAAAAAAAAACAATATTCATAACATCACTACACTCACTCTGCTATGATGGAGAGAAATCTTTGAAGAAACTCTACATGCATACAAACACAGAGATTTAAATCATAAATAATTTAATCTGACCAAAAAATAATGAACAATGCTTCTGCACTAAATGTATCACAACAATGCTTCTGCACTAAATGTATCACATTTCAACATTAATTTCCATACTCATAAAAGATTCCTCCTAAGATAATAATGCTTCCAAACAGTTAAGAACGTTTGGTGTGAATGTAGATCATATATTATATTGCACAGTCCACAAATCTAGCGCTGGTAGGCCTGGTTTCCTTTACAATGATTAAGCTATACATGGTTTTCAGAAAAAATAACCTTGACTTTGCAGGCTGTATTATTGCTCTCAGCATCTGTCTGCACACATGAATTCTGCTCATAGCTACTTTTTGCTCTGTCTGTGTGTGTTATACTTACTGTGTTGCAATTTACAGTAGTGGCTCCCGGAGGCCGTGGAGGATCCTCTTGGAGGGAATCCCTCTGTCTTACTGCTGAGAAGGGACTCTGCCATGTCACCACGCTGCTCCAGTCTCTCTCTGCTTCCATAAAACTCTTTATCTGGAAAAAAATGCTTCACAGAAACTGACGGGAGAAGACAGAGACCCATGAATTAGTCCAGCTGCACTTCTGTCCATGGGTGGAAAACACATTAAGCACAGCAGAAAAGGCGCTGCATGGTTCTGAGGGTATGTAGAGAATACCTCTCAGCCGATAGCAGTAACCTCATAAGCAATTAGGGAAAAAATGGCGCACAGCAGTGAAAGCCTGCCAATGTTTTTTCTGAGGTTGACTTTGAAAATAAACCGGGCAGCTGGCTGTAGACCTCATGTGTAATGCTAATTCCCTGTAATGCTGCTTTCTCTCAGGTTTGTCCTACTCTGGATCAGAATTAGTAGTTAATGGGGTTCATTGTGTTTTTTCAGGATGGTTGCTGTGGTCTCTGCTGCACCCACTGAGAATGAGATACTGAACTATTGCAGTGATTACTGCACAATATTACAATTATAGAAATAAATTGAATGCATAGATTAAAAATTATATTTAAATCTGAGGACATAATTGCATTATAATCAGGAGGAAACCTTTTAAATCTACTACTTTAATAGAACCTTTAATTTACCTCTTTATTTTTAAGGTAAACTGATTTAGCCTCATCGTGCAAGCAAGGCACTGGAATAAGCACTGATACTACATCATTCTATACAGCACATTTTTTGGTTTCAAAAATTATAATTATTTGAAATTTTCTTCAAATCTAATACTTTCACAGAATCTTTAATCCACCTGAAACAGGTCAGTCCAAAACGTAGCCGTTAGTCTGTTTTGAATTTTGCCTTGCTGTAAACAGTTGCCCTGGACAACTGCTGATGTCAGAGATGCAATACAGCATAGCTTTATAGAAATGTCACTTCACAGCAGCACACATTTATTGCTTATTGAGTGTGTCTGCGCTCAGATTGCTTGACCTCTTCTGAGCGCAACACAAGCCATTCTATTAGCAGAGGTGTTATGAGCAAAAACAGCCTAAATCAGAATTAGTCTGTGGGTTGAACTTCAAAGTGGAACCAGCTCTGAGGCAAGGCTGCCTGTCCAGAGGGGACAGCCTTCATTTGTCTCAGCACTTACTCACACTGCTCTCACAAACTCAAAGGGATCTCCTTCCTGTTTGTTACGCAACCTGTAGAATTCAGGACAGACAGATTTGTGTCATATGGATTATGCTTAGCACCAATTAACCCAGTGAAAAGGCCTACTGATAATGACTGTCGGGTAATAAGTCTGATTCCTGATTATTAGTCTTGTACGAGGTAGCTGTACGTTTGAAGGTTCACACACTTAAACTGAGTTCTACTAAGTAAGAGCCCCTAAAAAAGATCCTGCTACATGCACTGCAAAAGATGATGCCTTGGCAAGTGAAAGCGTCTTAAATGCAGTCAATATATTATCCCGTCTCACAACTCCATTTTGTTCAACTTTAATTTCTTTACACCATACTTTTTCTTTTACATTGTGAACATTTCATGAAAAGTGAACCAATAGAAGTGAAATATTTTTGTAATACTTGTATGTAGATACACCATGCTTAAATTACTGTAATACTCTCCTTTACAGTCTCTGCCCTTACTGTCATTATCATGTTGTTGCTGTTGCAACAAAAACTTGATTTCCAAAATGGTAACTTTTCAGGAGAAAGAAAAAACATTCTCAGCTTTTCATGGACCTTTTTGTGAAAATATATTATTCCAAGTCATTTTGAATCATTTCTGTTGGTCCATTCATCATGACATTTTTGCACAATGTAAAGGGCACATTCATGTTTTTGACAGTGACTGATAATATAACAGAATTTACTTCACTTTATGTTTTGTGGTACTACAAGAAATTCTTGCTGTTTCAGATTAAATTTTTTCTCTTGACATCTGAAAGCGTTTTAAATAATTTAAATAACTTTAAAAATGATCTCACTACATTGATCAACCATTCAAAAGAAAGTAAATGATGTGTTACTACTGAATAATAATCACTTCATATAAACAAAAAATGTCTAGAAAGTGGTTGAATATTTTTTCAATATATTTGACCCTCCTGATATCATAACATCCTTTATCCTTGGAATCAGTTTGACCACTATGGCAATTTAAACCTCTGGGAAATATCACAGTTCTGGTGGGAATTATGTTTTTCTCTCCCACATGTGGTGTGAACTATCAGTGGTTCTCACATGTTCTCACATGTTCTCAAGTTTTTTTGAAAATTAGAAAATTGCGTGTTATAGTGACCTCAAAATCATCCAAAACAAATAAGTGTAAAATGTTGTGTAAAACAGCTTGAGGTCACATTGACCCCAAATAACACCAATTCATACAAAATGTGCAAAGACATTGAAAAAACATCATGTTAATTTTGTGTTTACCCAGTTGTCTGAATTAAATTTGAATATAAATATGAAGCAAAAAAAATGTCAATCATTTATTTATTGACATTAAACAATGAATGGGGTCAAGTTGACCCCAAAGATAAAAGGAGGGCTAACATAATCTCATGGTGATTAGAGGCTTTCATTTCTTATCACTTTCACTTTTACCCTGTCCTTCCCTATCAGAGCAGCGTTGAAAAATACAAACAACTTTTCAATGGCCCTACCTTGAATAAATAAAGGTCAGAGAGGCCTTTTGTAAGTGTGATTGTGTGTGTACACTGTAAATTGGACAGCTCTCAGGCCTGCCACTCTCACCACTCTCACTGGATCACAGGATTTTTTAAGCTGTATGTGAACCTCACAAACAGGTATTATGCTCTTTTCCATCACAGATACTTTTAATCATTTACAAACAGGACTGTGCTGAAAGTTCATTTGTCTAATTCTACACTGGCCAGCTACAGAACAAGTAAAAGCCTCATGACAATCCTGTTTCACGTGATGGTGCCTTGAAGACAAACTTTATTTAAAGTATTGCACCTAATTTAATGTTAGAAATGAAAATTTATCAACAGTTGCAACAAATTATTTTGTTAAACGGTCCATCTCTTATATTTTTCTAATTTGCGCATTTTTCATGTAACAAAAATAGTCAAAATAATTTTTTACATGTCAAATTTTGAACCTTTCTTTATCCCAGGCTGTTTTGGTGACATCACAAAAACTATGTATTCAAACCGGGCTGTTTTTGCAGCTTAGTAGGGAGAATCTGATGAGCTGGCAAAGATATTCACAGCACAAAAGCATCGAAGTCTCTTTTTTGGTGGATGCAAATCCCTCCCATTGACCCAGCAGCTATTTCTGGCAGCAATCGTAACAGAGTAATTTCTCTCACTCTCTCTGCGCTGTGGCTGGACAGTATTCTGCTCTGGCAATCCCACTCCAGCATTTTCCTTTGTGTGCCGGGAGCTAGGCCCAAAATGAAGTGAGAATATTTACTTTAGAGCTGTTAAAATATTCCTCCTTCCAGATTTCTCGTATTAAAAGATCATATTTGTCAGAGGATTTAATGCAAACATTGCTATATTATTTCACGAATATTCTTTTTGTTTCTCCAAATTAAGACATGTGAAAGGCACTGCTAGATACCGCAACAAACTGTGAACCCAGACAATCTCATATTTCCACCAGGGGGAAGAGCCTATGAAATTCAAAGCTTTTTAAATATAATACAGCTAATTCCTCCCTGACTGGAGGTGTTTTTCTTGAGGGTCACAAAACAATTATACTATCAAGCCATTGCAATGAAAAGGCACAAGTGACATTATAGAAGTTTTTCAAATTTTTATTGAGGAAAAATCCTTTAAATCTTCGACCCAATGGACACATCAACAACATTTGCAAAAAAGCAGTTCAGAAATCAACATTTAGCAGCTTGACCACAGATCTGAAAGCAGAATGACAATTAGAATGTGTAATACATTTAATAAAAACAAGTATGATAGTAAAAACACAGAGAAAACAAAATCTCTCTCATTTTTTGACTTTGTGAACATCAGTTCAGAACGCTGTGCAACACGGCATCATATTCTACTTGCTTTATCCAGTTGAGGGGCCGAGCGACACTGTTTGAGCTTTTCTCACCTTCACCCTATGTGTGTGTGTGTGTGTGTGTGTGTGTGTGTGAGTGTGTGTGTGTGAATTCCCTCTCTGGACATCATCCACAGGACACAGACGAAAAAATGTTACAAATCAAACAACAATGTTACAAATCAAACAACAACAGTTGGGTGCAAACCACAAATCAATCTACTCAATATTAGATGTGAGCAAATAAAATAGCAGGATATGGAAAAAAGACAGAAAGTTTAAGACTTCTGCTTGAATCAGCGACAGACACACAGCGTAGTCTATGCACAAGCTCTTCACTGACTGATCCATCTCAGCATTGCTCTACGGCGCACACGCAGCTTATGGAAGAAGTAGCCCTGTCAGTAGAAAACAAACACCTTCAAATGCAGACCTGGCGGATTGGGGAATGCAGCCTCATGGGACGGCGCTCAATCAGATGTTTCCTCTGAATTTCTTCCTCTGGCCCTGCTGACCCTAATTAATTTCATATACAAGCAGTTGTTGGAGTTCCCTTTTCTTCTTTGGCCCTTTTATTGAAAGAAGAATTTTTTATGGATGCATAGTAATAGTGAACACCCGTGTTTGAAAAGTCACTGATTGAAGTGTTTTTCTGGGCTACATTCCTTGAAATAAGTATTTGATTACACTGGGTTCCCGCTTATGTCTCTTTAAAGAACTGCGTCTTGGTTCCAGATCATTTTGAAGAAGCGGTTCTGATTAAAACTGTTTGCAGGAGGAGATGAACCCCATCACCAGCTGCACCCAACACCCCAGCTCCCTCTCTGTGCTCTCCTCACCTCTCCCACGCACTCTTTCACACTTCGCTACCTTCTCCCCTTCTCCTCCTCAAGTTTAAATATCCGTCCAGACATGCTTCCTCTCTCCACTATTAATCAAGAACAGGTTAACCCTCTGTTAGTACAGGCTAAATGTCAGGTTAACACTGAGCACACAGAACGGCAAGCTAGAGCGAGGGAGCATGAACACAGCCGGTTTTAGTTCTGCCGTTTCAGTGGTGACTGTGGAATTCCCTGCTAGGGTGTTACATCAAATAGTGTCCCACCATCAGAAGTGCCTCGACAAATATCGTCCGTCAAGGCAGCGGAGGGAAACACACTCCCCTCTCTCTATTCAATAAGACAGCTCTTTGTTTTCTACCGTGCCCCGGCTTCTGCTCCCCTCTCTCACCTGATTTTTTTTTTCTCCACTTGTCTATAATAAGGCCAGCGTAATAATCGTTGAGAACTGTAACCAAAATGTATAACAAGTTCATGCTGTACCACAAGATTGCATTTTTTCCCTAACAGCTCAAGCAATGAAAAATCCATCTTGTTAATTATGATACATACAGTAACAGGTGTGTCAAGGGAGTCAATTCAGTTTGACTCTGAATTCTGCTCATTGCGAGCAGTAATAAATTAAGAAATAGGTAATGCGACTAACTCATTTTCTTCCGTTTTCGATGCAGTGTTTCAAAAGTAAAGCACCAGATATCTTGAGATGTCCTGCTTTAAACACTCTTTTCTAAACTGAAAGATAGTCTTTTCTTATCTGTGAGCTGATGACACCTTAGGTTTGAACCACACTGTTAATCAGGATACATCTCATACATTCACAAGCTTTGAGTCCCTTTGTCGTGTATGATGATCATGGACTTTTTGTGGAGTTTATTCACCATAAAAAAAAAGAAAGAAACTATAATGGTCTGCGTAATTCCCTTACTGTTCTGCATTGGCATTAGGCACTTAGAATGCGTGTTTCACATATACAAATATAGACAGCACTACCTCCAAATTTGGGCAATAAAAACATACACAATCATAAAATCTTTGGTTTTGTAAACACTTATCAAGAATATCACCTTTTTTTTCTGAGATTCATTTTTGCCGATGTAAATAGGTCGACCCCTCACCTTACTCCTGTCAGATCAAAAGAAAGAGTTTGAAGGAGACTCCTTTTTTTCTGTCTTCCACACATCTGGATGCAGACCACTTGTAGAAAGTATGGCTGCACGCATGCAGTTAGAATGGGAGCGCTCCAAAACAGCACTAATATACAGCCAGTCTTCGGGCCACGTAAAGATTTACTTTTAATGTTCACAACAGTGTCAGCCAAGCTGAGGCTGGGTCTTTAATGGGTGTCTCTTTACTTGCATTCTCTAGGACTGTTAGTTAGCTTGAGAAAAAAAGCCTAAAAGATCCTTCCAGAGATGGCAAGGCAGGGCCATGCCGGATCCTCATGATGTCTGTTAGCAAGGCTGTCAAAATTCCAGTCTCACAACAGAACCCTGTCTGCAGCAGCTGATCTATCATTTGCCCCATTTTAATGGCAAATTATGCTTTAATGCAGTGTGGAGAACATGGGGCTTTCAATTCAGAGTGGAAAAGTAGATAATCTTTTTGCTCTGGCTTCCCTGAAATGCTCAGGACAAATGGCAAATCTGGTTCAGCTTCTTTATGGAAATGCAACTTCTCTCTCTCTTCCTCTCTCTCTCTCTTTCTCTAATTCTCCATGCACTCAGTTGCAGGGTAACCAGGTTGAGTAGGTCTGCTGTTGCTGTTGGCAAGCAAACACTGGCTGCACCTGGGCAATGTAGTAATTACTGAAGTTGCCGTCTGCTACATAAGGGGCAGGCTGGTAGTAGCAGGTGACGTTTGCCACATTTGGTATGACGTTTTGCTCAGCCAAAACGCGCACGGCCAACATGGCAATGAGCCCTAAAGTCTGCCGCCGCTCATGCCCCATCAGGCACACCGTGCTTTCATTCACCACCCCATGCAGAGTCATCAGATAGTCGTACTTGCGGTCCTCCAGCCCCACAAAGTGGTTCTGAAGGTAGGACTCCAGCTTCCGCTGCTGCTCGTTGATGTCTGAGAAGTCAATAAAGAAGCGCGAGCACATGTAGCGCTGCAGAGACTTCATCTCCGTCTCAGAGGCGGCTCGGAAGCCTCTGACCAGCAGGTGGCAGTACTTCAGCAGGCCCCCTCCCCGAATCTCCTCGGGGTTCCTCGTGCAGATCACCTTGTTGCGTAGGTGCTCCAGCGCCACGTTAAAGTCCCCGTATACGCTCTCACCGATGATGGTGGGGTGGAAGGTTTTGGCCATAGGGTTCTCTGAACATTCGTAAAAGAGCAGGAGAGAGTCCAGTTTGATCTGGAACGAGTCCACGCTGAACTCAAACTGCCGCCGCAATGAGTCTACAAACTTGAGCTCCACGTTCTTGCCTCTGTTGTTGGAGAGGGAGATGAGGCTCCAGCGGTCCGAGTCATTGCACACTTTCACCATCTTCTGAACGTAAGCTTCCTGTGGGGTAGAGCCAAAACACACACTCTGAATGACTGACTATGCACTGTCGTTAATTTCCCTTAAGTCATTCAAATGACTTTCAATTACACAAATGAACTTTTGTCTACAACACATTCATCGCATGTGGTTGTTTCTTGTGATACAGTGCTGCAGTTTTATAGACACCAGAATTTCTGAGACAGCGCCACTGCCTGCCCTTTCTCTGTGTAAGGTCTAAGAAGCTGAGAAAGCAGGATCGGCTTTAAATTGGTTTAACTCAATCCTCTTAGCAATCGAAAACCGAGGTTTTACTATTAGTAAACTTGGCTAATTGCATTTTGGAGCTTGTAAGTGTGCAGTGCCCTTCACTTTGATAAGAATGATCACTACGAACACTGTTGCACTTTGGGCACTACTGCAAGTGTAGAAGACAAAGGGCAGCAGTGTCCAAAATCTAGAAGATATAAGAGAGGAACAACAGGCAAGAACAATGACAATAAAACAGCTGCAACAATAATACTAATCCTAGTGCTGTTAATAATTATATCAACAAAATAACAACAAAACAATACTAATGCTATCAAATAGAAAAACATGCAGAGGAGCAGTGCCTTCATGGTTTAATAATAATAATAATAATAATAATAATAATAATAGTAGTAGTAATAATACCTTTAAGGTCAGGGGTGTGATTTTCTCCTTGTTCACTCCCTCGGGCAGAAAGTCCAGCAGACAGTCCAGCACGATGTCTTTTACCATCTGAAACTCGGCCTCTCCCTTCAGCTCGGCGCAGAAGATGAGGTCCAGGTCCTTGTAGCCCAGGCCACTGTGCTCGTGCAGAACGTGGCTGGCCGCGGAGCCGTTGAGCCGGACGTCCCGCACGCGCAGTTCGCGCTCCTCCATGCGCCTCCGCACGGCCTTCACGATCTGCCGCGGCTTCATCTGCAGCGTGGGGAAGTTGCCCCGGCCGTGGATGGGTATGCTCTCGGTCAGCAGGCTGTCCAGCCGCTGCACTTGCTCCCAGCTGAGCACGCTGAAACTGCTGCCCTGCAGGGCCCCGGGGGCAGCGCTGTCCTCCTCGGCCATCGTGCTCTCTCTCTCTAATGTCTGCGCTGGACTGAGCACGAGCCTGCGTCCAGCCTCATCGGAGTAAGAGCCGCTCTCCTCCGCCGGTGGTCCTTATGCTTGTGGACGCTGGTGGAGTTGCATGTCCGAAAACTTCGTGACTTGCGTGGGTCGCACTCCGCTGGGGGGCGGCCGAAGTCGAAGTTACTCCCTCTTTCTCTCTTTTTCACTGTTTCTCTGCTGTGTCAGCGCGGCACGCGGCTCGTCTGCTCGTTTCTACAGTGAAGCGCAGGTTCTGCCTCTCGCAGTGTGGGGGCCGTTTGTATACGACCGCTTGCAGTTCTTTGCCCACCCGTATTCGGAGAAATCCGCGCCTCCTGTGCGCTGATTAGCTACTTGCGGCTCGCCTCCTGCGCTACGATTGGACAGTTGCAATCAGTCCGCCCAATCCTTGCTCGGGGGGCGGGGCCTGTCCGAATACAGGTGGGAAAACACTGTAAACTCCAGCAGGGCTTTTCTCTGAAGTTCAGCCTGCGGCTCCATGGCTTCAGGGCACACCTATCACTCTGTACAGAATACACTGCGGTCACCTGGCACAATCCTCAAACGAGGATCAGAGCACCATCATTTGTCTGTATTTTCTGTATATCCTGCTTATCAGTTAGTTTTCAAACCGTAGCTGTTTTTAAACACTATGTGCTTTAGTTTGTTTCACTTTGCCCTCCGAATGACCCCATCAGACTCGAACCTTCCCCACATCAGGCTCAACACATACATGCTGATGTTGAGTTTCCTGCAGGTTCAGTACCAGCAGAAGTCCGTCATTCCCGGGAGGTGGGCACCCTTCAGGTACAGAGACAGCTGCAGATATCCGAAAAAATAATCTCGCTTTACAAACAGACTGCGAGAAAAACACGTGGCCGTGTTGCACCATATAGACTTTCAGACTATTCATGATGCTATAACAAGTTATAATGACCAGAATATATTTTTATTAAAGCGGTGCGCGTCGACTAGTAAGCAGGAAAAACCGAAGAGACATTTTTGTAAACAATCGCAGTGAAATTCTGCCCGGACTCCGAATCTGGTGCCCCCTAGTGGTGGCGGAGTGAAACACAGCACGGTGTACATTGATCACACGTTTGTTAAGAATACGTTTAAGGGGTCTGGAAGGCACAGGTGAACAGATATGATTTTCAATATGTTTTTGAAAGTGGCTGTGCACATCTGACATCTTCTGAGAGTTTGTTTCCACTGCCTGAAGGCAGTGCCACCATGTTTAGTTCTAGGCCCTGTTAACTGACCAGACTGTAGTGATCTGAGATGTCTAGTGGGGCTGTATTTTGCATGCCAGCAGTGTAATTTAGGTCCTAGTCCATGTAGTGATTTGTAGACCAGTAGTAGTATTTTGGAATCTATTCTGTAGCTGAGCAGGAGCCAGTACTAGGGCCTGAATGTCGGAGTGACGTGTTCTAACCACTTTGTCTTGGTTAATATTTTGGCAGCAGTCTGAGCTGCAGCTGTCTAGTGGATTTTTCTAACCCGCTGGAGATAAATGCGTGAAAAGTTTTTCTAGATCTTGTGCAGTCACACTCTGAATCTACTTGCCCACACCATGTCTGCTAAAAATCTTTGCAGTTTGCAGTTTTCAGCCTGAACCACGAGTCCTGTTCAAACTTCACAGCTCATGGCTGAGGCGACATCAACAGTTTATTTTGAAACAGAGCGCTAGGTTGGTGTATATGTACCCTTACTGCAATAATGCCAAGATCACACGTCACCCATCTTATCCAGAAAGGGCCAGCGTTGCTGCAGGGTTTCATTCCAATGAAGCAGCATCACACCTCTTACTACTAATCAGTTGAAGACTGAGACCAACTGTTTAAACAAGTGGAATTGGGTGTGTTTCTGCTTGATTAGAATGAAAACCTGTAGCCACGGCGGCCCTTTCTGAATAAGATTGGCAGCCCCTGTCACGTCCTGGAGCTTTCAAAAGGTGTGTTCACTAAGACAGTGTAACATTTCCTGCTCCTCTCTCCACTAACAATATGCATATTGCATTTCATTAAAAGGCAACTGGCATCACTTACTCGTCACTGACATCAGTACAGTCCTAGACATGTACATCAGAAACGCTGATGGCAGAAGGTAAGCTGCCTGCCCAGGTGCTCTCCAGGCTGAGGGAAGGAGTCAGAGATTGGGTGCAGTGTCAGGGTGGGGCATCTGTCAGGATCCATCAAGGCAGAAGGTCTGCGTCACTGCAGCCACCCAGCCCTTTAAATCCAGCTTATCCCATTTACTCTAACACAGTCTTAGCCCAGAGAGGAGGACCTATGTACCTACGGCTACCTTAAGTGATGACCCTAGCCTACTTGTATGTAAATCAGTACCAGTTCACTTAAATCTTTTAAAACATTTTGATCCTAAACTTAAACATAATGCCTGTTAAGCTGTAAAAACTTCACTCCAGTGCTACTGAATCATATCCCTACTTATTCACTATTAATACTACTAGTCTTGTACACTATTAATACTGCTAAAAATACTAGAGGTGGAAAAATAGAGAAAATGTACTTTGGTGAAAGTATGGGTATTGTATCATTGTGTCAGTGTCTCTGTATGTCTGCCCTGTGATGGACTGGTGGACTGGTGACCTGTCCAGGGTGTTTCCTGCTTTCCAGCCATTGACCACTGGGATTGGCTCCATCCTCCTGTAGTGTGGGCAATACATATGGTGCTGTGATTAACATGTGATACTAGTCATTATAGAAAGAATAATTACACTTTTTACACTAGAATTAATTTGTTTTAATAAAAATTATTTGCTTTAATAAATAATAGCAATAAAAAATAAAATAATAGCAATAAAATGTGTGAGTGGAAAAATAAAAACTCCTGGTCTTTAAAGTGCACATATCCTACATTTTTCTTTTTTTCAAATTCAAACTCTTAATTCATTTTAACATGATCATTTTCCAGCCTCTCTTTATCCCTTACAATTAAAGAGGCCTTTTTTATTACTGAGCGTTTAGGACTGATATAAAATAAATGAACTCTAATAAATGTTCTGATTCGCTGCCCTGTAATGCGCCTCATTCAAGAAGCACTCCCTAGAACTTTAACATTAATGGGTGGAGCTGAGCTGTTGTAGGCTGAACAGGTTATGAGCTTAATTTCCATACATGGACTGTGTGGACTGGGTAGTGAATGGTGCGTTTTGAAATTTTTACATATTACTTCAAACTGCATGATATGAGCTCCTTAAGGTTTGTAATTAGTATATTGAAGGTCCAAATAAAAATGTAATAAACATCATTTTTTTTCTCTTGGAAATGTGATCCAAAATAATAATAATAATAATAATAATAATAATAATAATAATAATAATAATAATAATAATAATAATAATAATAATTACTATATATTACTATATATTTTATATATATATAAAATAGGGCAGCACGGTGGCGCAGTGGGTAGCGCTGTCGCCTCACAGCAAGAATGGCCTGGGTTCGATTCCCGGCCGGGCGATCAGGGTCATTTCTGTGTGGAGTTTGCATGTTCTCCCCTGTGTCTGCGTGGGTTTCCTCCCACAGTCCAAAGACATGCAGTCAAATTGCCCCTAGGTGTGGTGTGTGTGTGTGTGTGTATGTCTGTCTGTCTGCCCGCCCTGTGATGGACTGGCGACCCGTCCAGGGTGTATCCTGCCGTCCGCCCAATGACAGCTGGGATAGGCTCCAGCACCCCACCGCGACCCAGAAGGATAAGCGGTTTAGATGACAGCTGGGATATATAAAATAACAAAGTGCAATTACTTAAACATTATTCACCCCTGAAAAACACTACACCATTGTAGAGCAGTCAACACAGACAAAACTGACTTACATGCATATGCATATCTGAATAGACTGTGGCTTTCAAAAATGAAAAGTACTGGTCTGGTAAGAAATTGAATATCTGGAGACAGGGCCTATTGCCCTCAAGCAATAAAAAAAGTTCTTTTGTGGTCCCCGAGTGCACATCTCTGAAACTCCTGACCAAGACTGATTTGGACACACCGGCTAATAAACCAAGTGCAGAGGGTCGACTTTGCCAATGAACTGACAGGACTGGGAATTTTATGTGCACAAAATATTAAATTGCTTTGTCATATCCAAGTTGTCAAAAAGGATTCATTCGCATTTACGATCTCTCTTCACTCTCCAGCATTTTTTTCTATTGTCAAAGAGGACTGCTGATCAGCCAGTGAAAGAAAGTGATAACTCATGTCATGCTTTAGATTCCATGCAAAAAAAAGGAGAACAATAATGACTAAATTAATTTAGTGTCATGTTCTGGTTGTATTATCGTACAGTAATGATGAAAGGTAAAAGATTATAGTGAAAAGAAGCAGTAAGGACCATCTTTACATTTGACTGCTGTACATTCTGACTTGCTTGTTGTCACATTCATCACATCAGAATCAGAAACAACCGTTCATCACATAAGAACAGGAAGTGACCATAATTGCTATAAAAAAGCCTTCCTGTAACTCTTGTGCCACAGTGAGACTTCACATCTTGTAACCATATTGTACAAAAATCCCAAAAGAGCTGTTTTTGATAAATAAACATTCTCTACAGAGAACAACTTAAATATATAAACATTTTTCTGCAAATTTTAGTGCACAATTTACTTGTTGAGTGTAACATGTTGGAAAAAATAAAAACAATGCCACTTTTGCACAAGCCACATTTTATGGATTATTTTTTTTCCAATATGTGAAATTCAGCAAAATAGCAGTAATTATTCATTAAAGTCTTCAGTACTTTGTTTCATATATATATATATACACATGTACATGCAAACACACAATTCCCCATCTGCATAACAGTAATGTTGTATGACCAGGGTACTGTGCCATGATGAGTTTCAACAGTGTTGGTAAGCCAACCAATTATGAAATTCATGAAACTCAGCTTATTTCCTGTTGGCACCACATTGTAATGACACAGTTATTCAGCCTACAGTTCAGACTTGCCCATTCGCACTGAAGTTAGAAAAAGTGTTTCAGCTCAGACTGCTTTTTGAATGTGGCAAAACATCAAGTAGCCATTCAAAACAAAGGTTATTTACATACATCAGTCTTAAAGGCACAGTAACAAAATAAGCCTGTTTGTTCTAAGGGATACAGGTCAGAAAGTGGTCATGTAAAATGAATTAGCACTAAACTGTACAAATGTCATAATAATGAAAAATGTAGAATACTTACAGGTTATCTATTCATAGGCATGCCATGTAGGTTTCTTCCAATTAGGCAATAAAAAGGCAGTAAAAAGATTGTGATGCAGCCTGAAAATGATGCTGAATTCCATTTTTCTTTCCT